GCTCGCTTCTCCCTTCTTTCTTTCCTGGCTAGTGTGGTGCTCGCCTCTTCCTTCTTTCTTTCCTGGCTAGTCTGATGCTCGCATCTCCCTTCTTTTCTAGCTAGTCTGGTGCTCGCCTCTCCCTTCTTTCTTTGCTGGCTAGTCTGGTGCTCGCCTCTCCCTTCTTTCCTTCCTGGCTAGTCTGGTGCTCGCCTCTCCCTTCTTTCTTTCCTGGCTAGTCTGGTGCTCGCCTCTCCCTTCTTTCTTTCCTGGCTTGTCTGGTACTCGCCTCTCCCTTCTTTCTTTCCTGGCTAGTGTGGCACTCGCCTCTCCCTTCTTTCATTCCTTGCTAGTCTGGTACTCCCTTCTCCCTTCTTTCTTTCCTGGCTAGTGTGGCAATCGCCTCTTCCTTCTTTCTTTCCTGGCTAGTCTGATGCTCGCATCTCCCTTCTTTTCTAGCTAGTCTGGTGCTCGCTTCTCCCTTCTTTGTTTCCTGGCTAGTCTGGTGCTCGCCTCTCCCTTCTTTCTTTCCTGGCTAGTCTGGTGCTCGCCTCTCCCTTCTTTCTTTGCTGGCTAGTCTGGTGCTCGCCTCTCCCTTCTTTCTTTCCTGGCTAGTCTGGTGCTCGCCTCTCCCTTCTTTCTTTCCTGGCTAGTCTGGTGCTCGCCTCTCCCTTCTTTCTTTCCTGGCTAGTCTGGTACTCGCCTCTCCCTTCTTTCTTTCCTGGCTAGTGTGGCACTCGCCTCTCCCTTCTTTCATTCCTTGCTAGTCTGGTACTCCCTTCTCCCTTCTTTCTTTCCTGGCTAGTCTGGTGCTCGCCTCTCCCTTATTTCTTTCCTGGCTAGTATGGCACTCGCCTCTCCCTTCTTTCTTTCCTGGCTAGTCTGGTGCTCGCGTCTCCCTTCTTTCTTTCCTGGCTAGTCTTGTGCTCGCCTCTCCCTTCTTTCTTTCCTGGCTAGTCTGGTGCTCGCCTCTCCCTTCTTTCTTTCCTGGCTAGTCTGATGCTCGCCTCTCCCTTCTTTCTTTCCCGGCTAGTCTGATGCTCGCCTCTCCCTTCTTTCTTTCCTGGCTAGTCTGGTGCTCGCCTCTCCCTTCTTTCATTCCTGGCTAGTCTGGTGCTCGCCTCTCCCTTCTTTCTTTCCTGGCTAGTCTGGTGCTCGCCTCTCCCTTCTTTCTTTCCTTGCTAGTCTGGTGCTCGCCTCTCCCTTCTTTCTTTCCTGGCTAGTCTGGTGCTCGCCTCTCCCTTCTTTCTTTTCTGGCTAGTCTGGTGCATGTCTCTCCATTCTTTATTTCTTGGCTAGTCTGGTGCTCGCCTCTCCCTTCTTTCTTTCCTGGCTAGTCTGGTGCTCGCCTCTCCCTTCTTTCTTTCCTGGCTAGTCTGGTGCTCGCCTCTCCCTTCTTTCTTTCCTGGCTAGTCTTGTGCTCGCCTCTCCCTTCTTTCTTACCTGGCTAGTCTGGTTCTCGCCTCTCTCTTCTTTCTTTCCTGGCTAGTCTGGTGCTCGTCTCTCCCTTCTTTCTTTCCTGGCTAGTCTGGTGCTCGCCTGTCTCTTCTTTCTTTCCTGGCTAGGTTGGTGCTCGCCTCTCCCTTCTTTCTTTCCTGGCTAGTCTGGTGCTCGGCTCTCCCTTCTTTCTTTCCTGGCTAGTCTGGTGCTCGCCTCTCCCTTCTTTCTTTCCTGGCTAGTCTGGTGCTCGGCTCTCCCTTCTTTCTTTCCTGGCTAGTCTGGTGCTCGCCTCTCCCTTCTTTCTTTCCTGGCTAGTCTGGTGCTCGTCTCTCCCTTCTTTCTTTCCTGGCTAGTCTGGTGCTCGCCTGTCTCTTCTTTCTTTCCTGGCTAGGTTGGTGCTCGCCTCTCCCTTCTTTCTTTCCTGGCTAGTCTGGTGCTCGCCTCTACCTTCTTTCTTTCCTGGCTAGTCTGGTGCTCGCCTCTACCTTCTTTCTTTCCTGGCTAGTCTGGTGCTCGTCTCTACCTTCTTTCTTTCCTGGCTAGTCTGGTGCTCGCCTGTCTCTTCTTTCTTTCCTGGCTAGGTTGGTGCTCGCCTCTCCCTTCTTTCTTTCCTGGCTAGTCTGGTGCTCGCCTCTCCCTTCTTTCTTTCCTGGCTAGTCTGGTGCTCGTCTCTCCCTTCTTTCTTTCCTGGCTAGTCTGGTGCTCGCCTGTCTCTTCTTTCTTTCCTGGCTAGGTTGGTGCTCGCCTCTCCCTTCTTTCTTTCCTGGCTAGTCTGGTGCTCGCGTCCCCCTTCTTTCTTTCCTGACTAGTCTGGTGCTCGTCTCTACCTTCTTTCTTTCATGGCTAGTCTGGTGCTCGCTTCTCCCTTCTTTCTTTCTTGGTTAGTCTGGTGCTCGCCTCTCCCTTCTTTGTTTCTTGGCTAGTCTGGTGCTCGCCTCTCCCTTCTTTCTTTCCTGGCTAGTCTGGTGCTCGTCTCTACCTTCTTTCTTTCCTGGCTAGTCTGGTGCTCGCCTCTCCCTTCTTTCTTTCCTGGCTAGTCTGGTGCTCGCCTCTCCCTTCTTTCTTTCCTGGCTAGTCTGGTGCTCGCCTCTCCCTTCTTTCTTTCCTGGCTAGTCTGGTGCTCGCCTCTCCCTTCTTTCTTTCCTGGCTAGTCTGGTGCTCGCCTCTCCCTTCTTTGTTTCTTGGCTAGTCTGGTGCTCGCCTCTCCCTTCTTTCTTTCCTGGCTAGTCTGGTGCTCGCCTCTCCCTTCTTTCTTTCTTGGTTAGTCTGGTGCTCGCCTCTCCCTTCTTTCTTTCCTGGCTAGTCTGGTGCTCGCCTCTCCCTTCTTTCTTTCCTGGCTAGTCTGGTGCTCGTCTCTACCTTCTTTCTTTCCTGGCTAGTCTGGTGCTCGCCTCTCCCTTCTTTCTTTCCTGGCTAGTCTGGTGCTCGCCTGTCTCTTCTTTCTTTCCTGGCTAGGTTGGTGCTCGCCTCTCCCTTCTTTCTTTCCTGGCTAGTCTGGTGCTCGCGTCCCCCTTCTTTCTTTCCTGACTAGTCTGGTGCTCGTCTCTACCTTCTTTCTTTCATGGCTAGTCTGGTGCTCGCTTTCTCCCTTCTTTCTTTCTTGGTTAGTCTGGTGCTCGCCTCTCCCTTCTTTGTTTCTTGGCTAGTCTGGTGCTCGCCTCTCCCTTCTTTCTTTTCCTGGCTAGTCTGGTGCTCGTCTCTACCTTCTTTCTTTCCCGGCTAGTCTGGTGCTCGCCTCTCCCTTCTTTCTTTCCTGGCTAGTCTGGTGCTCGCCTCTCCCTTCTTTCTTTCCTGGCTAGTCTGGTGCTCGCCTCTCCCTTCTTTCTTTCCTGGCTAGTCTGGTGCTCGCCTCTCCCTTCTTTCTTTCCTGGGTAGTCTGGTGCTCGCCTCTCCCTTCTTTGTTTCTTGGCTAGTCTGGTGCTCGCCTCTCCCTTCTTTCTTTCCTGGCTAGTCTGGTGCTCGCCTCTCCCTTCTTTCTTTCTTGGTTAGTCTGGTGCTCGCCTCTCCCTTCTTTCTTTCCTGGCTAGTCTGGTGCTCGCCTCTCCCTTCTTTCTTTCCTGGCTAGTCTGGTGCTCGTCTCTACCTTCTTTCTTTCCTGGCTAGTCTGGTGCTCGCCTCTCCTTCTTTCTTTCCTGGCTAGTCTGGTGCTCGCCTCTCCCTTCTTTCTTTCCTGGCTAGTCTGGTGCTCGCCTCTCCCTTCTTTCTTACCTGGCTAGTCTGGTTCTCGCCTCTCTCTTCTTTCTTTCCTGGCTAGTCTGGTGCTCGTCTCTCCCTTCTTTCTTTCCTGGCTAGTCTGGTGCTCGCCTCTCCCTTCTTTCTTTCCTGGCTAGTCTGGTGCTCGCCTCTCCCTTCTTTCTTTCCTGGCTAGTCTGGTGCTCGGCTCTCCCTTCTTTCTTTCATGGCTAGTCTGGTGCTCGCCTCTTGCTTCTTTCTTTCCTGGCTAGTCTGGTTCTCGCCTCTCCCTTCTTTCTTTCCTGGCTAGTCTGGTGCTCGCCTCTCCCTTCTTTCTTTCCTGGCTAGTCTGGTGCTCGCGTCCCCCTTCTTTCTTTCCTGGCTAGTCTGGTGCTCGTCTCTACCTTCTTTCTTTCATGGCTAGTCTGGTGCTCGCTTCTCCCTTCTTTCTTTCTTGGTTAGTCTGGTGCTCGCCTCTCCCTTCTTTGTTTCCTGGCTAGTCTGGTGCTCGCCTCTCCCTTCTTTCTTTCCTGGCTAGTCTGGTGCTCGCCTCTCCCTTCTTTCTTTCCTGGCTAGTCTGGTGCTCGTCTCTACCTTCTTTCTTTCCTGGCTAGTCTGGTGCTCGCCTCTCCCTTCTTTCTTTCCTGGCTAGTCTTGTGCTCGTCTCTACCTTCTTTCTTTCATGGCTAGTCTGATGCTCGCTTGTCCCTTCTTTCTTTCCTGGCTAGTATGGCACTCGCCTCTCCCTTCTTTCTTTCCTGGCTAGTATGGCACTCGCCTCTACCTTCTTTCTTTCCTGGCTAGTATGGCACTCGCCTCTACCTTCTTTCTTTCCTGGCTAGTATGGTGCTCGCCTCTCCCTTCTTTATTTCCTGGCTAGTCTGGTGCTACTGAACACATCTGTCTGAGGTGTGATGATTTTTCACGTTCCGTTTCCTTCACTGAATTATACCTTGGAAGCTTTTGCATTTACAATGCAAACGGGCTTGAGCAACAACGTTCCGTCCAGTCGTTGTTGCTACGACTGGTTGATCGCTCGTTTGCAAGTGTTGCAAATGAGCGGGAGAACCATAAGGCTCTCTCCTGCGATGATTCAACTCTACTAGCACTTGATATTTTAACATCTATTTCTGAACCTGTATATTGTAACTCTACTGACAATACTTTAACGCTCACTATTAATGGTCTCACATCTTCGCTACTGATAATTAAGTCACTTACTTTAGTGAAACAATAAATTCGCCACTTTCACAGAAAAAACAGCAAATACCAGTTTGTACTTGTGTTTGAGATAAATCCTCTCACCTTCACCAGGGGCCACGAAGAACAGGAAAGAGAAAAGAACACTCAAAGTATCGATGGGAGAAGTATGTCCCTCTCCACAAAAAAATAATAACCCTATGTCTTACCTCTAGATGGATAAACAATGAGTTCCTGGATGTTCAGCAGGGGTTCTGCACCCGGGGGACAGAAAGTCTGGGAGTCTTGGATGGGTAACGTTGGTAGTAACCACGGGGCAGTGTATGTGAGGGCCCCAGGGGTTTCCTGTGACGGATTAGTTGTGTAATTATCTCTCAGTGGTGGTGTGAAGGCCGGTTCTGAGCTGCTGTGAACTATGGCGGTGCTGCTACCTGACATTGCTTCACTGTACGACGGTGGTGGTGAAGAAGATATAATGGTGTTGTCTGGGTTGACATTCATGGCTGTAGGTAAAGCAGTAAGATGTTGAATTATTATAAAATTCATAGGGCCCGGGAAAGCGCTAAACCTATAGGGGACAGGAAAACAGCGCCTGTGTAATGGAAAGTAATCATATTTCATTGAAGGGAAAGTATTGCTGCAGAGAGAGTTTTTTATCACAACTAAGTTCGCTATAGTTTGTGTTTGCTAATACGTCATGTTGCTTCATTTGCAGCAACCCATTATCAGATATAACTTTGATATGCCTTTGATGAGTTTCCAGAGTTGTTCTACTCCCAGAGTCTTGGTCCAGGCTCATCTGGTGCGTGTCTGGTCAACCAGGCTGTTGCTGCTGGTGGCCCACTGACCAACATATTCATCACAGCCTGGTTGAATAGTCTGGACGTTGATACACTATTCTGGTTTGGCAAATATCCAGGAGAGCAAAACGTTGGTACCGTCCTGGAACCTAACCTCCAGACTATGTCGATTCTTTGTACTTTCTACTGGTCAGCCACAGTACATATTTGAACCTTCCCTCCTATACCATGACCTGCCACTTTCCCTCCTATACCATGACCTGCCACTTTCCCTCCTATACCATGACCTGCCACTTTCCCTCCTATACCATGACCTGCCACTTTCCCTCCTATACCATGACCTGCCACTTTCCCTCCTATACCATGAAATGCCACTTTCCCTCCTATACCATGACCTGCCACTTTCCCTCCTATACCATGACCTGCCACTTTCCCTCCTATACCATGACCTGCCACTTTCCCTCCTATACCATGACCTGCCACTTTCCCTCCTATACCATGACCTGCCACTTTCCCTCCTATACCATGACTTGCCACTTTCCCTCCTATACCATGACCTGCCACTTTCCCTCCTATACCATGACCTGCCACTTTCCCTCCTATACCATGACCTGCCACTTTTCCTCCTATACCATGACTTGCCACTTTCCCTCCTATACCATGACCTGCCACTTTCCCTCCTATACCAAGACGTGCCACTTTCCCTCCTATACCATGACCTGCCACTTTCCCTCCTATACCATGACCTGCCACTTTCCCTCCTATACCATGACCTGCCACTTTCCCTCCTATACCATGACCTGCCACTTTCCCTCCTATACCATGACCTGCCACTTTCCCTCCTATACCATGACCTGCCACTTTCCCTCCTATACCATGACCTGCCACTTTTCCTCCTATACCATGACCTGCCACTTTTCCTCCTATACCATGACCTGCCACTTTTCCTCCTAAACCATGACCTGCCACTTTTCCTCCTAAACCATGACCTGCCACTTTTCCTCCTATACCATGAACTGCCACTTTCCCTCCTATACCATGACCTGCCACTTTTCCTCCTATACCATGACCTGCCACTTTCCCTCCTATACCATGACCTGCCACTTTTCCTCCTAAACCATGACCTGCCACTTTTCCTCCTATACCATGACCTGCCACTTTCCCTCCTATACCATGACCTGCCACTTTTCCTCCTATACCATGACCTGCCACTTTCCCTCCTATACCATGACCTGCCACTTTTCCTCCTATACCATGACCTGCCACTTTCCCTCCTATACCATGACCTGCCACTTTTCCTACCTATACCATGACCTGCCACTTTCCCACCTATACATGACCTGCCACTTTTCCTCCTATACCATGACCTGCCACTTTTTCTCCTATACCATGACCTGCCACTTTTCCTACCTATACCATGACCTGCCACTTTCCCACCTATACAATGACCTGCCACTTTTCCTCCTATACCATGACTTGCCACTTTTCCTCCTATACCATGACCTGCCACTTTCCCTCCTATCCCATGACCTGCCACTTTTCCTCCTATACCATGACCTGCCACTTTCCTTCCTATACCATGACCTGCCACTTTCCCTCCTATACCATGACCTGCCACTTTTCCTCCTATACCATGACCTGCCACTTTTCCTCCTATACCATGAACTACCACTTTCCTTCCTATACCATGACCTGCCACTTTCCCTCCTATACCATGACCTGCCACTTTTCCGCCCATACCATGACCTGCCACTTTTCCTCCTATACCATGACCTGCCACTTTTCCTCCTATACCATGACTTGCCACTTTTCTTCCTATACTATGACCTGCCACTTTCTCTCCTATACCATGACCTGCCACTTTTCCTCCTATACCATGACCTGCCACTTTCCCTCCTATACCATGACCTGCCACTTTCCCTCCTATACCATGACCTGCCACTTTCCCTACTATACCATGACCTGCCACTTTCCTTCCTATACCATGACCTGCCACTTTCCCTCCTATACCATGACCTGCCACTTTTCCTCCTATACCATGACCTGCCACTTTCCCTCCTATACCATGACCTGCCACTTTCCCGCCTATACCATGACCTGCCACTTTCCCTCCTATACCATGACCTGCCACTTTCCCTCCTATACCATGACCTGCCACTCTCCCTCCTATACCATGACCTGCCACTTTCCTTCCTATAACATGACCTGCCACTTTTCCTTCTATACCATGACTTGCCACATTCCTGCCTGTACCATGACCTGCCACTTTCCCGCCTATACCATGACCTGCCACTTTCCCTCCTATACCATAAATTGCCACTTTCCCTCCTATACCATGACTTACCACTTTCCCTCCTATACCATGATCTGCCACTTTCCCTCCTATTCCATAACCTGCCACTTTCTCTCCTATACCATGACCTGCCACTTTCCCTCCTATACCATAACCTGCCACTTTCTCTCCTATACCATGACCTGCCACTTTTCCTCCTATACCATGACCTGCCACTTTTCCTCCTATACCATGACCTGCCACTTTCCCTCCTATACCATGACCTGCCACTTTCCCTCCTATACCATGACCTGCCACTCTCCCTCCTATACCATGACCTGCCACTTTCCTTCCTATAACATGACCTGCCACTTTTCCTTCTATACCATGACCTGCCACTTTCCCGCCTATTCCATGACCTGCCACTTTCCTGCCTATACCATGACCTGCCACTTTCCCGCCTATACCATGACCTGCCACTTTCCCTCCTATACCATGACCTGCCACTTTCCCTCCTATACCATGACCTGCCACTTTCCCTCCTATACCATGACCTGCCACTTTCCCTCCTATACCATGACCTGCCACTTTCCCTCCTATACCATGACCTGCCACTTTCCCTCCTATACCATGACCTGCCACTTTCCCTCCTATACCATGACCTGCCACTTTCCCTCCTATACCATGACCTGCCACTTTCCCTCCTATACCATGACCTGCCACTTTCCCTCCTATACCATGACCTGCCACTTTCCCTCCTATACCATGACCTGCCACTTTCCCTCCTATACCATGACCTGCCACTTTCCCTCCTATACCATGACCTGCCACTCTCCCTCCTATACCATGACCTGCCACTTTCCTTCCTATAACATGACCTGCCACTTTTCCTTCTTTACCATGACTTGCCACATTCCTGCCTGTACCATGACCTGCCACTTTCCCGCCTATACCATGACCTGCCACTTTCCCTCCTATACCATAAATTGCCACTTTCCCTCCTATACCATGACTTACCACTTTCCCTCCTATACCATGATCTGCCACTTTCCCTCCTATTCCATAACCTGCCACTTTCTCTCCTATACCATGACCTGCCACTTTCCCTCCTATACCATAACCTGCCACTTTCTCTCCTATACCATGACCTGCCACTTTTCCTCCTATACCATGACCTGCCACTTTTCCTCCTATACCATGACCTGCCACTTTCCCTCCTATACCATGACCTGCCACTTTCCCTCCTATACCATGACCTGCCACTCTCCCTCCTATACCATGACCTGCCACTTTCCTTCCTATAACATGACCTGCCACTTTTCCTTCTATACCATGACCTGCCACTTTCCCGCCTATTCCATGACCTGCCACTTTCCTGCCTATACCATGACCTGCCACTTTCCCGCCTATACCATGACCTGCCACTTTCCCTCCTATACCATGACCTGCCACTTTCCCTCCTATACCATGACCTGCCACTTTCCTGCCTATACCATGACCTGCCACTTTATTACAGTCTAAATGAACAACGTGTTTATTATGATCCACTGCCTCAAATACTGTGTTAAAGAACGTCAACAAATTTGCCAGACAGGAATACACTCTAGTGGAACTGTGTCGAGACTCAGTCAAATTATACTCATTAACGTGGCTTCATATAAATCTTCTATATTTGATTTTTTTAAATTGGAGTTATTAAGGTGTTTCCATGATATACTGAAACTGAGTGAACTGTGATCGTGTACCCCAAAAATGTCATTGACTTAAGATTATTAATTAGTGATTCCTGGATAACAAGAGCCGAGACAATCAGGTTCTTGCCTCTAGTTGGTTCTGTCACAAACTGTTATTAAAAAAATTTCTAGATTCAAGATTTCCTGTCAAATTGTTTCAGTCAATTTGGCTAAAGTTAAAATCTCCCATTAACCCAACTTTTCATCCCATAGAAGTTTACAGTGTTTTTTATCAAGGTTTGGAGTCTGTGAAGCACACCCAAGAAACTGTAGTCAGAGTCAGTGTCTGTTTCTTACACTTTTATATTCTGTCTAATGCACAGTTTAAATTTAATGGAGTTAATCACTCGGTGCCCTATACTGTCTCTCTTTGTTGACCAGTTCCATTGATTTTATTAGTAACTCTATGATAAACAATGTCTTATAAACATTTCCCTGGGGTATCCTGGCTATTTTAGCCACTTTGACTCCTTGTGTTGTAACCTATTTGTTTCACATACCCACCTATTCCTCTATCTTCCATCACTTTAAAGTGCTAGGCAGCTGAGCAGCGGCTCCCTCGACAAAGATGGCTAACACTACCACTCCTGCCCCAGAGAGATGTACCCCATCCCTTGCATACATACCATGTTTGTCACAGAAATTGCTTCAGTTGTCAGTGAATGTGATTGTAAGGTCTTTGTAGCACCTGTCTAACCAGTATTTAACACCAGTTGCTCTAGATATCCATTCATTGTCCACTTCTCTTCCAGGCAAAATGTTACATATGATTGGGACCCTGGAGACCAAATTACATCTATATCTGTCTTGTACATAACTAGCAGATCTGTTTACATCTCTTTCAAATATCACTTACACAAGCACTGAGGCAGATAACAGGCTTGTTCATATCACCTGACATGATATTATCTGACCTACTATGTTACCAACACCATCTCCAGGGACAAACATCTT